AAAATAATTTAATTAATGGTCTTTAAAAGTTTTTGTGGCCTACCTAAGATCCTTTCACGGCTCACCAGTGTGCCATGGCACACGGGTTGAAAATCACTGGTATGGTAGATAAGTAAATAGTGATTAGTTCCTGATGCTCCTCGTGTCTCAGGAAGGGTGAGGAAGTGAGCTCTCACCTTATCTTCCCACTGTTCTTTGCTCTCGGACAGTGGAGACTTACCTTGGGCAGAGATGCTCGGGAGCCAGAGCTCTGGGTTGTCATGGTGAGCACAGTGGTGATGCCCAGGCCCACACGGGCTGGTGCAGCGTCCATGTTGATCCAGAAGGAGATCCATGAGAGGATGACGATGAGCAGGCTGGGAATATACATCTGGATCAGGTAGTAGCCCATCTGCCGCTCCAGGTGGAACCGGGCCTCAATGCAGGTGAATTTACCTGCAAGAAATTATAGTGAGAGGGGAATGCAGCCCAGTGGGTAGGAGCAAGGGCTTTTGGGTCAGGGCAACCTCCGCTGGAGTCCTGGTTCAGCCTCCGACTAGCTGTGTTTAGGCAAGCCTATGAATCGTTCTGTATCTCAGGTTCCTCATGTAAACTGGGATAATCATAACAATAATATCTACCTCACATGGTTACCTCTATGGATACTGTGAGGATAAAATTAGATGATGTTTATGAAGAACTTGGCGCAGTCCTCACACATCATACGTTCCCAGGATTTTCAGATGCCATCATTATCATCATCGCTATTTTGTTGCTAAAAATGGGCCTGGCTAAGTGGAACCCCAAACATGACTTGGTCCTGCTACTTCCTCTTATAAGACCTTCCATTCTTCCTTCCCTCTTCATATAAGGAAGCTCCCACTCTTCAGTCTGCCCTTGGCTGTCAAGCTCTCACCCATCTTTCTATGCCCTTTCCCTTCTTTCTCCACCCTCATTATGATTCCCTCTATTTTATACCTTGCTTTGAGCATTCCCCACATATTTTCTGTTCTGAGCTTTGAACTTTGCTCATCCCTTTGCCTGGAATGCCCTTACTCTTTTTCACAAGCAGCCTAGGAAACACTCTTTCTTCTCCATGGCAGTATAAATGTGAAGTCCGCCCTAGGCAGGTGCTTCTTTCTTTTTCCTGTGTTCCCTTAGCCCTTGTGCACATGCTCATCAGAGCCTTTAAGGCATAATACAGTGAGTAAGTGGGCCCATTGTGCTCTCCCGCTCTTCCACTCTGGATAGGGCAGCTTGTCTTTTCCCCATCTGTGTATCCCTGGAACTGGGATAGGGCCAGTCCCACAGTGCATGTCTCAGTTCCTGTCCACTGGGACAGGAGAGTAACTGGGGTATTTTCCAGAGCTCCCTGAATTGTAAGCTCCATGTAGCCAGAACCTGGTTAGTTTTTCCCCTGTATCCACAGGAGCCAGTGCAGAGCTCATATCTCATTTAAATGAAGATGCTAAAGAGCAAGTGGGAGGATGAAGAGGAAATGCTGTATACATTTAGGTTGTTTCTACATCTTGGCTACTGTGAGTAATGCTGCGATGGATGTGGGAGTGCAGAGATCTCTTTGAGGTGCCAATTTGATTTTTTTTTTGCATGTATATCCAAAAGTGGGATTGCTGGATCATAATGTAGTTCTCAGTGGATATATAAATAAAGAAAATGGAATATTCCTCAGCCTTAAAAAAAAAAAGGAAATCCTGCTATTTGTGAAAATATGGATGAACCCGAAGGACAATTTTACTCCTGCAGGAGAATAAGCCAGAAAAATAAAACTGCACATTATTTCACTTGTACATGAAATCCAGAATTATCAAACTCAGAGAAGCAGAAAATAAAATGGTGGTTGCCAGGGGATGGGGGTGGGGGGTGGACAAATGGGGAGACGTTGATCAAAGGGTACGAAGTTTCTGTCACACAGGATGAATAAGTTCTGGAGATTTTCGTACAGAAGTGTGACTAGAGTCAACACTACTATACTGTATACTTAAAATTTGCTAAGTGGATAGATCTTCAGTGTTCTCATCAGCCATATACATATATGAGGGGATGATACGTTACTGAGCTTGATTGTGGTGATCGTTTCACACATGCTGCATGTGTGCAGAACATCAAGTTGTATACCTTCAGGGCACATAATTTTGCACTTGTCAATTATATCTCAAGAAAGCTGAAAAAAATGCTGCATCAATACTAACGGGCTATGGCATGTGAGGGTCAGTTGTGATGATTTGATTCCTGGGGAATCGTTGTTCTCATAACTGTTAACGGGAATACAACTACCACTGTGAGTCTCAGCTTGGCCAGAGATGAAGAGTATGTTTAAGGTTCTGAGACATCTCTGAGGTGACAATTGTCCCAGACCAGATCCCAGCCTGCCGGCCCTGTCACTGGGGACCAGAGTCCGATCATTTCTCTCAATCCCCGTCCTTTCTTTCTTCCTCTACTTGGCCCGTTGCCAGCCCACCGCACACCTTCCAGCTGGCATCCCAACTGACTGACTTCCTTCCACAGTGCCTGCTCGTGCTCCTTCCCAGCCTGCCTGGGCATGCAAAGCCAGTCTTGATCCAACCCAGTGTATTCATATGTTCAGGTTTCCAACAAAGGCCATGCTATGCCTGGAGGTGAGCTAAACAGCTGTGGTTTCTCGCCCCCTTGTAGCTCACAGGCTCGCAGACTTTCCCAACTGTTTACTAACTGTCAGTGCCACCTCTCACCTCCCCCTTGTTGAGCTCCAAGCTAAGTATTCTCTATACTTTTGGCCCATCAGAAATGCCATCTCTTCTGTTACGGAGACTGCTAGGTGTCTTCCCAATGTCAATTCTTCCCTCCTGCTACCTGGAACAAAGACTGTGTTTACCAGCTTCCCTTGTGATTATGTATGACCTAAGCTTAAGTTACCCATTCCAGGATTCAGAAGAAGAAAATGTCAGAGTTGTTTTTTGGTTTCAAACCCCATTCTTTTAACCACTAGGGAATAAATACAGAGCTGTGCCCATCATGGGTACTTCATAAGATCTGTTGGATCAGTGATTGAATGAGTGTTTGAAATGACTTCTGGTCACTTCTGGTTGGGGGGGGGATGTGAACAGGTGGCCCCTTGCACCTACCTGTGTTGTAATGCTTGGTGCAGTATCTCAAGTCCTTCTCTTCCTTCAGGATAAACTGAGGCAGAGTTAGTCCATCTGCCACCTGCACAGCTCCCTGCTCCTGCCACTCAAAGATGAGGTCATTCATGGTATATCCAACTGGGAGGGGATCGGAAGAAGGAGGCGTTACCACCCAGAAGGACTCGTTTGAAGCATGCCAGGTTTGATTAGGGTGAGAGGCTGAGAGGGGTATCAGACACTCAGTGGAACTCATGAGACACTATTACTTTTTTTTCCTCACAGAGGAGGTTAAAACTGGCTTCCTTGTTCATTCTGCAGCACTTCTGCACCCTGCCTTAGCCTGTCCTGTCATCCCCACTCTTGCCCCCATGGTGAAATGCAGTGGACATCTGTATTTTTACCAGAATATCATCCTTTCCAGCCCTCTTTTTTCTTCACCACAAATTTTCCACCCCTCTATCGTGTGCTGTCTTGGTGGGACTAACCGTAGGGGTGGGGGCAAGGTGTGAAATGGTGACTCAAGCTGGGCCAGCAGGATTCTCTGCCCCAGGACTTTGGCTCTTGAGTGAAGTAACAAGAGGTTCAGAATTGGTGGGTACTGATTTTCTCACAAGTGGGGCTCCAAGGAAATGGCCCATTAGTTCCTGCCACCTAGATGCTCTGCCCTGGTTCCTGTCCTTTTAAGTTAGATTGATTTCTGTGTAATCTAGTAAGTCAGCTACCCTTCTGTTAAAATCTTGCTCCTCCATGAAGCCTTTTCCAGTGCCTTCTCTCCTTCCCCACTAGAAGAAATCAGACCTTTTCCATGAGGCCATAGCATGTTGGACTTCTGACAACGGCTTACTACTTGCTGTCCTTTGTTAATGTGTATAGTTATCTTTCTCCTCGGCCAGAGTGAACATCCTGGCAGTTCAAGGATCACAACTCGCTCAAGCTATTTCTCCTCCACTCCTGGCGAGCACATTCACAAGGGACTTGAAACAGGTCTCTTTGGAGAATGCTGCTGGCTAAAGTTTGGGTCTTAGACAATGTAAGGAAAATTATATTTCTGATCCATTTTCTGAGAGCAAAGCCCTCCATCTAGTATTTTGGGTTATTATAGTAATCTCCTGGGGCCCAGAAGTTAGGAGCAGCTGTGTGGGAATTTCTGTCTGTTTTGTGGGTATATTGGATCTTGGTTCTTTCTAGAGGACTCATGCAAGGGACTTACAGCTTTCCAGTTGCATGATGCATGTCTGGACGTCCATGGGGAAATTCTTCAAGTCCATTGGGCAGGCCAGTGTCAGAGTGATTCTGAAAAGAGAAGGGAGTTGAATGCTACTGGATCCATAAACCAGGGAGGCTGTGCCTCCATTCTGGTGATTCAGAAAAGCACTTGTCTAGGATAAGGAAAGGAAGTTCAGGAACTGGTATTTATTGAGTGAATATGTGTTTATTTTCAAGCTTCTAATACAGAAATGGAGGCTCAGAGAGGTAAAATAGGTTGCCTAAATTCACACAGAGTCAGGAGAACTTCTTTAGAGGCTATTTGCTTTTGAGATACCTGTCTTTAGCAAGCTGCCTGGAGGCCAGGAGCTGCCCACTCCCTACTTCTCTGCATAGCTCTAAGATAGGGACAGAGCTCGACTTTTAAGCTGAGTAGCATGAGACCCCAGGTACCCCCAGGTGTACCAGCAGCATGTGCGGCCAAGTGATTCTTGGCTGCCTCTTTTTACACACTGGGCTCATCAAAAGTCATTTCAAAGAGGCCCCCTGCCTTCTGGGTATCCAAACACAGCTGACTCACACCAGTGGGCTCATGCTGGGGTCAGCTGGAAAGTGTCGGGCTGCCCAGGATTCTGGGCTAGCTGTTTATTTTAGTTTTTCAATCCTTTCAGAGACTGCAGACTCAGAACCAGAGGGAGTCCCTTCAACAGAATCTGAGGCCTGCAGGTCAGGCTGGGATACAAGACTTCAGCTTGAAAGGCTTAGCCAACATCTGAGCACCTGCTGCAGGGAACAGAGAAGAAAGGCTCTTGAGAGCCCAAAGGAGCCTTAGATCATCAAGCCAACTCTCTCATGTGACAGGTGAGAAGACCAGAGTGTAGAAAGGGATAGGTTGAGAGTCACCTAAGGTTACACCGTGAGCTGATGGCTCAGCCAGAATTCAAAACCATGTCCCCTGGCCATTGGATCCTGAGTCCTAGCAGGGTTGGCTCATGTGTTTGCTGGCAGGCTTTCCAGCACTGCTGTCCTGAAAAGGCAACACCCTAAGATACCTAGTTGGTGGTGCACTAGTGGAACTTGACTGCTGGC